AAATTTCAATTTTAACTCTGTTATAATTCATAATTTTATCTAATAAAGAACTAGAGGAAAGACCTCCCTTGATAAAATAAAAAAAAATATATATATTTTTTTATTAGCTTTCAATACAGCAAACCATTAACTTCTCTTGAATCTAAATGTGCAATTATCTGCATGTCAATCCAATTTCCTAATATTGCATGTTCCAGTCCATCACAGTCAATTGTATGATCCAAGTAGATACAATCGTAGAACCTTCTTTTCCTAACTTGATCCAACAAGTTTCAATATCACTATTGGATTCTCATCACAAGATTTCTGTGTTTTAGGCCTCATGCTACTATCCAATCCACATTTAACATCACAATGGTACTTGGACAACAGTCCATAATTCATTCCTTTTCGCATTTTTATTTCATTAAAGTCGATCATCATCACTCTATCTCCAACGGCCTCACCACGATCTTTGTTCCTTTCATCATTCAATCCCTCATTGTTTACAATTTCATCAGCAACAAGCTCAGCTACCACCGTATCATTATTTTCACAATCTCCATCTCCATTGACCATATCAACTTCATCACTAGACACCTATTCGCCACGTTCAATCTTTCGGGCTATTTCCTCAAAATGTCAGATTCTTCGGATCATTTCTTCACTCAGTACTGGCAAGTCATCAATTCTCTTTTCATCTGAATCACCACTTTCAGCAGAATCCAAATGTCATTTAAATGTCTTATTTTCTTCCTTTTCAACACTAATTCCATGTTGATGGCAATCCTCAACACTGCATGTTCATCAGCCCTTCTCACATTAGCAGATTTCTTATAATAATTGGATGCTTTATATTCGTCCTTTTCCAACCTAATTCCATTTCTATGGCAAGATCTATTCTTGTACATTCTATCAGCATCATTCATCGTCGTTCTACCATCTAAGCTAGATCTCCCGGAGCCTTTAGGTTTGTTTTTGCGTTCATCTATGTTTGTGTTACCTCGATGGATTAATCCCAAACATTTCTACCACACCTTCGATTATTGTTCATACATCTCTTGACAGCATTATTATTCACAGCTTCAGCCCCTTTTCCTATATCCACAAATCATAAATCTTACATCACCCACTTTCAAGCTTTTCACTAAGCTTTCTTTACCTAATTTTTGAATTGGACAATCACGGGCAAGGTGTCCTGGTTTCCTGCATTCGTAACATAAACGTGGCCTATGGCTAACGTCTTTTCTTCACATGACCTTCAGGTTTTTCATAACCTCCGCCGTTATCATCTCCACAATAAATCATTATCGTTAAACTATCCTGGCTTTCCCTCTTTTCATACACCATTTTCAGATAAGCCTCCGTTTCTTATATTGTTTCCTTACAATAGTTTACTCAAAACACTAACAATTTTCACCGGTTTTACTCACACCAACAGTCAACGTTCTTTGAACCTTTTCTTAACTTAAATCACTCGATACCTTCGATTACACAAATACCCGAGACCTACTTCACCTAACCGACGTCTCAATACGTGGGTTGGTTTCTTACTAGGTTCTTGCAATAATCAACGCACTTGAAACTCAAACTTCGTTCCCTTTAACCTTAAATAATATTTCACTCACAATATCGACACACTTAATAGTGGTATCCACGAAGACCTTCACTTTCAACAACCAAATCACGCAGTTCAACGAGGGTATTGCTTTCTACCCAGGTCCTTATGTCACGGTTTATTCTGGAACTACCGTGTACTGGTGGGTCTTTACTATAAGTCTTCGCTCGCTTGGCTATTCTATTCGATGACCGTGTATCGTACAGGTCCTTCCACCGATTATAATATGCTTACCCAGGTAATAGTTTATTCACTAAGGTTGTTTTTCACTAAGCAAACGTAACTTTGAAATCTAGGCACGTTCCCTTTCGGGATCGATACCTTATATTAATTAATAATCGCTATTTTGCGTCACTGATTATTACATACTTTCCCATCGCTATTATCACTAATTGCTAATTATTATTACATTGTTCATGCAATCACTAATCTAACTTTTTAATTAATTCCATGTAACCCCGAATCACGCCATTCATTCAAATCGGGATCATGACCCGATCATGATCCCTGACCCTTGCGCTACGAATATCCGGGACACCAACGTCGACCATGACACTTCGCTATCGATTTTTTATTTGGATAATTATTTTTGAATCCAGACCAAAAATGGTATTACGTTATATAAAATTGGGTTAGGTTCAAAAATAATTACAGTACCTATTTACACATTATAATACGTATATTATTATTATTAATCAAATTGCCGTCTTAGTGATTTACACTATTCCATTCTTGGTATTTTGTTAACAGGTTTTTTCATATAATTAACTGCCGCAATAGAAGATATAGAAGAAAGTGTTACACATGTCCTGTGAAGGTACAACGTGTGAAATCTTGATATGCATTCACATCTTTGCTTCGTCATATGCATTTTCCCAAGATTTTGCGTGCGACGTACGTACGTACGAACATCATTTAATTTGCAATATAGCCACTCCGTGAAATTTTCAACATTCCGTTCCTGGTACGTACGTACGTACGTACGTATTATTGATTTTTTCATTATTAACTATAAACTCAGAGGTCCCACCACTAAGTTTACCAATAGGCACAAATTTGGTTTACAGTAATCCTATAATTTTATACGTACGTACAGTACGTAACTTTTTATTTTGACTGTCACGATCTTAATTTTTATTTGTCAAAAATTACGGGGTGGATCAATTTTTAGGGGTGTACTACTTAAAAATTACAAATACGTATAATAATACGTAACACGATTAACGTAAATGTATCGATCCTTTCTCTTTAACGTTAATATAGCACATGGCATCAAAAATATTTATGGGCGATATGCCCGAATTAATGGAAAATATTCTTAATAATTTAAATAAAGAATTTTATTCT